CTCAGAATGGCGCAGATGTGATCACATCATGAGCGGCGAGAGCCATTAGCTGTGTTGATTACATAAATAGTGATGTAAACCGGGGATAGGGTTGACGGCGCCACCTTTTGGAAAGGTGCGCGCCTGGGGGCGCCTCTCATGTAGCCCGGGTATGGCGCCTTTGGCTGGCGGCGCCCCGGCGAGCAGGGCGCCGTCTTTTTTTTTTTTTAAACAAGATTCTTTATGTATTGCATAGGAAAAGATGTGTATGTACAAGGAAAGAAAGTGAACAGGATTGACTGGTCGGAGGTTCGAGGATCAGACCCAAAGATCCTCTGGGTCCCAGTTCACATCGGCGGGGTTGTCTTGGATGCCGTCAAGGTCGATAACATCATCTGCTGGTTGAGGTGGGTTTTCCCACATATCAAAATCAAAGAGAGTGTCCATGAAGGCGTTCTCGCGTGAAGCAACGACTTGCATTTGTTCTTCGGTGAAAACACCGGTTTCGAATTCTTCCAATTCAGTAGGAGTGAGGAATGCGTCGTAGATTCTCATGCTTTCGTATTCAGAATCATGTGTCGAGTTCTTTTGTCTTCTTTGTTTTCTAGGTGCTAGTAATCGATCACCTTCTAGTAGGTGAAGCTTCAGTTGAGCTAACATCTTCAAGGTTGTTGGGGACATTCGATTTCGCGATTTTGTCTTGATTGCACTCATTGTTGAGAATAAGCCCTCAACACCAGCAGCATGGGGAACGATTTCAAGGACACCAATCGCAACTTTTTTCAGCGCGTTTGACTCAGGTGTGTCAGGAACCATCAGCCAGTAATCCAATGGTTGATCGACGTCCTTTGAGTTGTAGGGGAAAAGTGAGTTGTAATACCGATTGATTGCATCTTGTAGGGAAGAAGCCTCAGCTCTGGTCAGCTTCCAATGCTTCGCAAGACGGAGGAGCATCTGACCGACTTCCGGAAGTGAGTGTTTCTTTGAGACTGCAATTCGACGGTAGCTAGGGTGGAGGAAAAATGCAATAACATAGATATCCTCATGGTAGATTTTTGTCTGTGATTCAAGTGCATTAAGACAGTGCCTTTTGAAAGGCTCGAAGCGAGAGTAGACATCTGTATCCCTGATGGCCTTGTATGCGATCAGAAGCTCTTTCCAGATATCAGAAAGAGTGGTGTCTGCCCGTTCCAAGGACCCGATTGCATCTACGACAGGCTTTAGGAGGCTGACTAGAGTTTGATTTGCGGTGAAGTGATCGCGATTCTCGATTATTTCGACAACTGCATTTGACATTGCAGGGGTATCGACTAAAGGGTCATGAAGTAATTCAAGACATTTCCGAAACCCAAGTTCGTGTGACTGAACTCCCAAGCAGACCTTAGCCATCGAGTACCAACGGGTTTCACACAGAGTTTGTAGACCGTGTTTGACTTCGTTGGCCTTTTGCCATGTAGAAAGATGCTCACGCCAGAACCCCGAGGTTGTGAAGTAGTTAACAAGGGTTTTGTTGGACTTGATCACACGATCCATGGATGGGTGACTGGCTATTTGCTTGGCGATGAGGTTGAAAACGTGCAAGGTGCAGTAAATCTTCAGAATATGAGGATTTGCTTCGTTCACAAGTCTCTGGAGCAAGCAATGAGAAACAAAATGAGAACAACAAAAACCTCTTCAAGAAGCAATAATAACTCACCCGAAGTTTGATCATAACGGATGGAGAATCTGTGACCAATGCACAGATTTTATCCAAGCCAACTTGCTTGGACTTCAGTGAATCCTTGAGGGCTGAGAAGATGTTATCGGCCGTATGTCTCTTGGAGTTAAGATCTAGTACATCGAGAAAGTATTTTCGTTTAGCGCCTTTAAGGACCATCACCGCATATATGCTGTTACCAGAGTTGTCCGTCCAGCCATCCAAAGACAACGTCAGCTGAGTCTGATCCTTCAGGGTATCACACATAGACAATTCGTGTTTGGCATGTATCTTTGGCAAAGTGTTGTCCATCATTTGTACTCGTCGGGGTATTTTGTACACGGAGCGCGCTAGTTCAGACTGATATTCTTGGAAGTAAGGATTTTCGAGAAATGTCAAGGGGATATTAGAGCTGATTAATGCTTTTAAAAGCATTTCATGTAGGTGATGGGTTTTTTCATTGCTCATTGGTCGGAAGTACTGATCAATTTGCTGGCTTGATTTTTTATCAGGAATGGAGACAGAGATAACTCGACTGTCGGTCTCATCAAGACCATCGGATCTTAAGGTGGTTGAACCACCATCACCACCCTCGGCAAGAACATCACGAAGGTAAGCAGATTTGTTGTCTGGAGAAATGTTTGGGCACGATTCCTGGATGTGTGAGAAGAGCTGGGAAGGCTTTGCCTGGTTGAAAACCTTATCACAGTGAGTACACTTCGCTTGGCGTCGTCTGGATTCGTCGTTTCGGAGCTCAGACATGAGGAAGCCCTTCCACCTTGGACCATGGGCTTGTGAGGGACTGGTCCATTTGTTGGAAGCGCTGCTGGTGTTCCTGACTGGTGGCATCGTTGAGAATGGGTGTTTGATTGAGAATTTGTCAAGACTCAAATTGTTGCCTCAAAATCCTAACCAGGACATAGACCATTTCCGACTCTGAGTCAGCAGGAGTCACTGTCTAGTGTCAGTCAGAAAAGCTGACACCTGAAATACATTTCAATACAATTGAAATCAAAGTGATTTCATAATTTCCCCAGGTTGTCTATGGGCACATACATACCTGTTCACTCAAAATTTAAAAAGTAGGTAAAGAAGGTGCGCGCCAACCCTCATTTTCGCAGATTCCGGGGCCCCGGGTGCGCGCACGGGGGGCGGGCGCACTTTGGCGCGCCCCACCCCTTGGCGCCGTCAACCCTAACCGGGGAGAAAGAGATAGGGCTGATTATATAAGCAGACTCTGCTTCCCACTGGCCTTCTTTCCCCTGTTGACCATCAAGCCAACTCACTCCACCAAGAACAAACCAACATCACAAACACACACACACACACTATCATCATGAGCTGGTTTTCAGTCGAACCTCCACAAGCCCAGTCTCCAACTCAACCAGCTGTCCTCGTTCATCCCACCTCATCTCGATACCAGCCTGGAAACTTACTCGGTGAACTCAAAGATGAGGTTAGAATGAATCATGATATACACCCCTTTCTATTGTAAGAGGTACTCACGATGTACTTGATTCTTCACAGGATACCTCCTGGTTGGCTCAGTCGTCCGGGTTTGTCACTGAAACACAAACGTTTTATATCACCTTGCCCGGCAACAAGCTGGCAATGTGTCAAGTGATCCACTCAGCTATCGGGTCAGTCGAGCCGTTTCATCTCTTGTATGATCTTCATCCATCTATAATTCAAGATGCTCATCTGCCGACAGCTGTCTAAATCACTGAATGAGATAACAGACTCTGGTACCCCCAAATCCAATTCACCTTCCGATTCGTCGATCAGGGTTCCGGGGCACATCATTGGAAGTCTACCAACGTCACCAACTTCAAGACCCCTCCCGCCTCCTCCGGATCCTCGTCCGTTAAATACGATCGAAGGTCATGCAAGGCCGACCAATTTTCGATCTTGTTGGATCCAGCACAGCCCGATCGATATACGATCACCGGCAAACATGACGACTCGATCCACATCCAATTCAGCGTGACTCGGATGGCAGATGTACCGGGTTGGAAGCTCGGGCAAGACGCTCGAGGAGGGCTGACGTATTTCGGCCGATGGGCATCGAAGGAGCCGAGCAAGAGCGGCCCGGATTATGGGGCGGGTTCGGACGGCTACCTGGTTCACCGGTTCTGGCCCCGTTGCAGCGTCTCGGGCCGCTTGTTGATTGATGGCAAGACGGTCGAGCTCGACGGCAGCCGGGCAATCTTCGTCCATGCCATCCAGGGCATGCGGCCTAACCTGATTGCCTCGCGGTGGAACTTCTGCAACTTCCAGTCCGTCCGTCCGCTCGAGCCGCTCTCCGAGGGCGCCGAGGACACCGACCCGGGAGTCAGTCTGACCCTCATGGAATTCACCACCGTCCCCGGCTCTTACGGCCCCCCACAGACGATCACCGTTGGCAGCATCGTCGTTGGCGACAAGTTGGTTGGGATCTGCTGTAGCCCCAACCCGAGTGAACTCGTGGACTCCAAAACGACTCACCAAGCCCCACTCCTCCACGATGTCGACACGGGTTACCAGGTGCCCTCATCGATTAAATTCGAGTGGATGGCCCCCGTCCTCGCCAATGCACTGGGCTCATCGGCTCCGTCCACCGACTCTTCTCCCTTGTCTGCTACTGCCCACCTCGTCTTGGACCTCGAGGCTAAACGGATCTCGGAGAAGGAGAGTTATGTGACTAAAGGCTTGATCGAGAAGGTCGACGTGATGGCCCAAATCCCGTATCTTGTCAAGAAAGTTATCTCAGCCGTTGCTGGTGCGAGACCATACATCTACACCGTTAGTAGATCCCCCTCTTCCCCTCCCCGCACACACTGATTTCACCGATTCCACTCATATCACTGATGATCTGCGGTCCGTACTTGTTTTAATTAGTGGTTGAACCCCGTCGAGGCTCACATCACTTTGCCTAACTCGGCTCTCCCAAACGGGTTCAATGTCAAGACCGAAGCGGTCGAAGGAGAAGCTAGTAAATTCACCATTCATGGTCACCTTTTCAATGTCAGTAACCCATCCTCCTCTCCCTCTCTCTCAAAATCATTCTTTGTAATCTTTTCTTGGGTATTCTCTTCTTTTGCTTATTTTCTTGGTTTTTTTTTGGTTGTTTTTAGGAAGCGACTTTTATATCCGATTTGTGATTGATTGATCGTCTTCTTGTTCTCTTTCTTAGCAATCTTTCATATCTCTCTATTCCCCTCTTCTATGCAGAAACAAAAAATGACTTGAGTTGTGTAAGTGTATGTCTGTGTCATGTGTGTGTGTGTGTGTTCACAGTGTACCTAACAATAAATAACTATACATATGAACAGAACTATACTTACATACATAAACAGTGCAACATTACAAAAACACAAATTGATTGAATGATTGAAGCTTGTACTTTTTATGTTGGTTATGTGTATGAGTGCATCAACAGATAGCTATAAATGACAATATGATGATGATGATGAAGCAGGCTTTACTTTCAGCAAGTTGAGGGTTTTTCCATTATTCACTTTATAAGCCATGATTCAAATGAGGGGTTTTTTTCTTCTTCTTCTGGGAAATGTGGGGTCTCATCAATTTTTTTTTTAGGGATATTTCCTTACATTTGGATGATCAAGTTTTTTTTTTCTTTTTCAAAAAAAAAGAAATATTGGAAATTTTAAAAATCCAAGTTGAGCTTCTTTGAAGCTTGAGAACTGCATTACAATTTACATGAGCAGAAAACACACATTCCAGGTGATCCTCATTCACAATTACAAAAAATTCCCTGGCATGTAGTTACACACTTTTTTGGATAGTTTCTTGATGAGAATTTTGTTGGACATCATGAGCACACTCAGCTATCTTTTTTTTTTTTACATGTAACCCCAGACATCTAGTTTTCTAAACTGTTTGGCGCAAAAAACAGCCAAAAAAACACACACACACAATAGAGACACCCAAGTGTGTTCTTAACTTCTTTTTGGGCACAAGCCTCTCCCGCATCTTGTGTGATTGACAGAGAGGCTGAACAAGCTAGTGCCCAAATCATGGACTAAATTCTTGATCTGCTTCAGCTAGCAATTCTACAGTGTGCAATTCTGCAAGTTCTCTCCAGGGAAAATGACCTTGTTTTTTGATGTGAGATTAGTAATTTGGTGAATTGTATATTCAACACTTACTCCTCCATTACAGAGGGACAACCCACAGTCAGAACTTGTTGACAATGCCATGCCCCACTAGCTTAATTGAACCTCTTGAACAGGGGGAGGGCCTGTGTCCCAGAGGGACTGTCTGTAGGAGAGGCTTATTAGGTCACTTGTAATTTGAGTGTAATGTATTCATATTTATTTATTTGTTTAGGCTCTGTTTGGCCATCCACAATTGTAATAGAGTGTTGTCTTGAGTCATCAACTCCAAAACTAGGTTTGACTATTCCAGGCTGTGTAAATGATGCAGCCTGAAAATCCACATCAATGTCAATGTTTCTGTTTGGTGCACATTGGCTGGAGTGGATGGCCGGAAATGTGGTTTAGGAGGACAGGGGGGCATTGTATTGGTGAGAGGGAGTTGTGTATAGGTGGAGGAGACATGGAGGTGTGATGAGGGAACTGAGAGGGTGGAGAGAGTCACAAAAGGCAACTTATGAAACAAAACTTTGTGGGGCCAAAATATTGGGAATGGAAGGGGAATATACATCAATAACCACTTCCATCATATGCAAGTGGCTATGATGGGCGCTCCCAAACACAGTCATGAGGCCCTGTCATAAACAGTGATCCCCCAAAATATCTGATATGATTGCTTATGACAATCATGGACAGACAAACAAAGCCTGAGTTATTGTTTGAGGTTTTGAAGATCTGGTGTGAATAGATTTATGGGTCTGGTTGATGAAGCAAGCTTGTTCTTTTTATTCAAATGTGCAAATGGAATTTTTGAATGCCAAAGCCCCCAGAAATTGAATGGAAAAAAATTACAAAAGGAAAATGAAAAAAGAGACACAAGAAATACTTGGAAATGTTAGGCAGATGAACCCCCCAACTTTATTCAAACAAAAACACCCAAAATCTGTATAGACTTTTTTCAATTGAATTTCATAAATTTTTAGAATCAAATTCTAATCCACAGGTTGGGTGGCAATGGATCTGATTTTTTTTGATGGCTCAACCAGATCACTTTGAAAATAATTGGATTTTTTGTCCCAAAGGCTATTGTACTTCAAAACTAAATTGGGGTTTGAGTGAATGATCATGGTATTGATAATCTCAATTAATTGCTGTCTGTTATTTTGTTCAAGTGAAGTAAATTTATAACCAGCTCTCTTGTTTTCTTGAGCCCAGTATTCGACTAAATTGTTTGAAATATGATACCATTTGGCTCTTTCATTAATCCGTGTTTTGTTATGGTCTTTATCTATCTTCTGAAGGTGCAATAGCGCTGAAATGTTTTTGGCCCAGTCAAATTTATTGGTCAGTTTTCCATCACCATTTTCCATTAGTTCATCCCAGAATTTCTTCATGAAATATAAAATCCCTTCAACTATTTTATGGTTCAATTTGCCTTCCTTGTGTTCCTTGAGTAATGAGAGGCGGACTATAATTAAGAAAGTGGAAATCTTTGTTATATTACTTACAAAGTTTGTGATGGAGCTGATCTTACTGCCTGATACAGACCTCTCTTTCTTTAATCTATTCATGTTGTTTCTTGATTCAATACTCAATCTCAAATTCCTCATGAGACCATTGGAGAAGGTGCTATATTTGTCAAGATCAAGTTTTTCATTTGAAATCTTCAATACAATTTCACAAAGTATTTTTGGCCTGAGACTGGTTTTGATCTTGCTGCGGAATTGGTGTTTTTTCTTTGTGTATTTTTGAACTACATCTGGCATTTTACTTGTAGGAATGAAGTAAAAATCCCCACTCTTTTGAAGATTGAGGTTTTTAAACATTTCCTTGAGACTGAAATCATGAGAGAATTGTGGTCTATTTAAATCAGAAAACACATCATCTGAACCTTGATATCTCAAAAAATCCCAATCATAAACATCAAAGAATGGTGGAATGAAATGATTTGCTTCTTCATGGAGATCACATTTGCTTGATTGGATTGAATTTTGCATATTTGTTATTAATTTTCTTTCACTGTTTAAAATTCCTCCATTATCTTTAGGTGTGTGTTCTTGACCATGGCTCAATTTATGTAGCTCATTTTGATAAGACTTGATTGGCCAACTTAGTTGACTGTTTGAGGCAAGCTCCTTTCTTTTCCGTTTTTTCAAGATGGATGCTGTATTCCCATTAAAAATTGTCTTTTGAGATGGATTTTCAACATCAGCCCCACCGGTAAGTGGTAATGGAGACCTTGGCTGCTGAATTTCAGAATTCAAAGGCTCTTCAATAAAATCAAAACTTGATTTTGGAAGTTCATCAAACACAGCTATATTCAAATCAGGAAGTTCTTGATTGTCAAAATCTTTGATTATATTCTTGGCTGTTGGATGAAGTAATGCTGGGCTGATCAACCTCAGTAAAAAATAATATTTGAATACTGAGTTCCTCATAATTGTATGGCATTCGTTGAGAAAGAAAGTGAAAATGGTAAAATACTCTAGCTGCCTGGTGATTGACAGATGCAGTTGACCTTTTTGCACTTTTGATGATCAATCAGTCATGAATAACAATCTTAGGAATTTGGTGGAAGGATTTTTTTGATTTTTTGGCTAGCTGGTTTTCAATTTTAAAATGGTTTCCAATCATCTCTGGCAAGTCTTAATTTGTTTTGAAACCATCCAAAACCAGTACAGAATCTGAAGCTTGACCTGTACAGCACTTTGAGTGCCCCCCTTGTTTATTGTTTATCAAGAAATACAAAAATGAAACAAATGCAATACACAACTTTCTATTTTCATGCATAGTGTTGAAGTACATACATCCTTGATGTATCTGATGTCAGATAAGTACATAGCTTACCAGGACTATGTAATTTTCTACTCCAACACATTAAAATAAAACAAATTACATGATCTGTTGAAGAAAACAGACCCTTTCTTTTTCTGAAACAAATATTCTAGTGGGTATCAAAGGTACTAGAGTCTAATGGCGGCTTCACCGCCATGACAAACTTCAAGTGAAACACAACTGATTGATACAGGGCATAAGTCCCTGTCATTTTAGCCTACACTTGAAACTGTATGCCCAATTATCTTCAACAACTCCAACAATTTCATTTAGCTTTTCCAATGATGCAAATGAGGATGAAAATCCCAAGAAGATGTGACTATCCCAGCAGACCATTGGGGTCAACATGTCAGAGCTGTATAGATCTCAGGAAGATGTGACTGTTCCAGCCAACCATTTGGGTCAACATGTGAACCCCTTTTCTAGAGGAGGATTAGTGATGGTTGTGGAAAAGGAAAACAGTTCTACATAAAAAGGCAGATGATCGCCAAAAAAATTGTTTTGAGGATACACAAGAAGCAATGCATTCCATATTATTCATTCATTGGAGATTAGAACAGAGAAGCATAAAGTAAGAACATTAGGGCACGACATAATAACAAATTTAGACTAAAAAGATTTGACAAATGATATATAAGGAGTTAGGTGTCTGAAAATGGCAAAAACAACTGACAATCAAGTCCAGAGTCTGGAAATAGCAAATAATATGTAAAAATGTATTGGAGAACATAAGGAGAGAACAACAACAAAACTGAATCTAGGAATAAGAGTGAGGATAGGTACATGTCTGAAAAAGGAAGTGGACACTGGAGACAAAACTATATAAAGACCAGTGAATCTGTCCGGTCACGAGTTGGAATTCAGCAATGCACTCAGGTTAAGTGAGGACTTGATGTTTCTCACATCATTAATGCACATTGCAATACCTGATTAAGGTGCAAGGGGGCTAGGTTTGGTGCTTAATTGTTTAACTTGTTAATTATGTAATTGAAAATTTTGGAAAACCCTGCCGTATCATTCAAAACATGTTGGTTCTTCAGCTAGCCTGTTTGGTGACACATTGATGAAACATTTTAGCTTTTTCGAATCAACTGGTCTCTAATCAATTTATAATGGTGGACTTGATCAGGTTCCTACCCCATAATCAAGCATGCATCAAGTATTGCACTTGCTTATTTACCTAATAACAATGGTGAAAGCAATACAATACAATAGGGGTATCAAATGTAGGAAATCCACCATTACAAACTAGTCACTTTTCCCAAAACTTTTTTTTGCATCAATGCACTACAAAAAGTGTTACATTGCATTCTGCAAATGCGCGGTAACATCACATGTCACATGCAAGGTAAAATCGCATGTGACATGTGATGTTACTGCACATTTGAAGGATGCGATGCAACCCTTTTGTAGTGATGGGCCCCAAAGGGGGTTAAATGAATAACCAACATGTTTAAAAAAGGGTGGAGTTTTTCAAACCAGTCAATTAAATAATGGTGGATTTGGTTATATTTGATACCTACTACTGTTTGTTTCTGAGCAGCAGCAATATATTGTAGAGATGGATGTTATACAATGTTCTTGACCCATGTTGGCAGCAAGAGCTTCTTAGGCTTGGAATCATTCCAATGTATTCAAGAATTTGGTTGGGCAGGAGTGGTGTTTGCTTTTATGAGAAGATATAAATTCACATCATCTTTTCAGTAAGTTGAACATCCTCTGCCAGCCATTAGCAGAAGCTTTATAATTCATGAGCCTTGAGCCAAAAATGGTCTCAGCCTTTATCATTATGGTCCCATCAGGACCCAGGAAAGCCCCTATAGAACACAGTAACCAAAATGTATGAATTTTTGGTCAAAAACCAAAAAAGGAGCTCACCCCAAATGTATGAATTGCTGTTTTTGCCCAGAAAGGTACTCACCTTAAATGTATGGGCTTCTCCCTGAAGAAGGGGAGGTAGTAAGCAAAGGTGTATGAGAGTCACAAAATTTTTGGCCACAATGCTCCCCAAGGCCCCCCTTCTAACTTGAAAGCCCAGGCCCAATGCTTTGAAGGGCTGATGTGTAGTTCAGGGGGACTGTTTGCACCAGCAACTAGACCCCTTGAAGTGAAGGCTGGTGTAGGGTTAGCTTCTCCCCCTTTTTTGCCTCTTTTACCCCTCTCCACCTCCCCCCTGTACAGAAGGTAAGCACCAAAAATGTATGAATTATCGTGGAAAGTGCTGAACCTACGCACAAAACGTGTATGAATGGGCTTAAAAAATGTATGAATCTTTCAAAAATCCTGGTTTTTTGGTTACTATGTTCTATAAGAGCTTTCCTGGGGTCCTGTCTCATCATGGTGCCAAACTTAACACAAGTCCCCCTGGTGGGACTGGAGGCTTGCTGGTGTGACTGGCTGGGCGCACAAAGCGCCCCCTCCCACAGGCAGGGACTTGAAACTTACAAGAACACTTTCCCGGTGTGAGGCAGAAACAGGGTTTTGGTGGTGGCAACCTTGTTTGCCCCACCACTCATTCATTACAACTCAAATTTATTTTTAGTTCATATGGATGAAAGATCCACATAATCCAGATTTTTATATAGTTTTTTCTTGCAAAAACCAGTTTGGTTCTGGTAGAAAACATGCAATGAAGTTCATGATTTTGAACTTTGATTTGCAAATTTGGCAGAGAGGCTCAAGCGCACTCTCAGTATAAGCATATTTGATGCCTGCAAAATGATAATTTGTCTTTTTTCTGTTTGTTCTTTTAAAAAAAGATTGGTATGGAAATAAAAATATGAAAAAATACAGAAAGATCAAGGAGATACATGTCATAGAACAAGAAAAAAAGCACAATGAAATTTTGAGAACAATAACATCCAAAACAGAGGGAAAAATACAAAAAAGGGACCTCAAAATCATGCCTGCCTCACGCAAGCTTTGAGTTTTATGTAAGCCTCTGATCTGACAAGACTGGGCTGCCGCCCAGACCTGCCCGCAAACGACTCTCGTCACGAGAGGATTATGTAGTTAAGCTCATCATGGTGCATACTCCCTGATTGTGGCCCAAGGAATCGTTCAACATCGTCCAGTTGGCTTTCCGCCAACCATTAAAGTGTTATAGCAGTGATCTTGTGCTTGCTTCAAGGCCGGGTACTTTTCTTGCCCCACGTCAAGCATTAAGATCAGCCGTGTTCAAGACCGCCAGACAGGCTTGCCCGTGCACGCTGATCACAGAGATCAGCCGCGATGGCCACAAGCTGAGATTTCTGCTCCTTATAAGCTGATGATCGGCAGTCGGAAATGGCCAGCTATTACAGATTTTATATGATGCTGAGGAAACAAATTCCGGAAATGTGAGATAGGTATCATCCGGTTGTTTGCACACATTGACACGATAGCTTGTTTGTTCCTGATTGTCTTGTCTTCATAATACTCTTGAAGTGGTTTTGTAAATATTATGTCAGGAGAAGCTGAAGAAGAGGAAGCTTTGTGATGCCGTCGATGACGATCTATAATCGGCTTGCTCATGATCGCCCGGATATAGTCCGAGCCTCTCTCCTCCGCACGCCGGCTATTATGTGGAGCGTGCAACAAACCAGCTTTGGGCTGCCGGCTGGTCATGGGACTTGAAAAATATTTCTGGGATGAATGGATGGCTGCTGCGGTCTTACAATTTGTGAGTTAGGCCGAATCCCCAACGGGTTGTTCTCCTTCATCATGGCTGCATCCTGATCCCCCGGCTGATCGATCATGTGCGCAAAAAAAAGAATAACTCTGCTCTTGATGATGATGGTCAGCTGGCATTAATTCATCCCAAGCAGATCTCTACATAGCTCATGTCCTCCCCGCTCCGGCCGAGGACCGCCTAGTAGTTCCCCAACCGGTTGAGCAGGCGCACATGAGGGACAACCGAGTCCATCCCTGTGCCCTCATACTTATTTCCATACCCATCCTCTCCGCTTTCATGGTCAGTCTACTCTTGGCATGGCCATTCTCTCCTCTTTTTTTTCCTTCTTTGGCTTCCTCCCTCCTATTATATTGTATCATATTATGTTACGGATTCTTGCCGAGCTGGATTGAGAGTCTTGTTTGCGAGTGTTTGTTAGACTAAAAAGATGTAACCATCGTGTTCTTCTTGGGCGCGATGTTCTCATCTGATTCTTGAAGGCTATATCATCGATCGACTGCAAGTGTATAAAGAGCTGCAAGCTGGTGTGTTTCTTTTTTCTGGAGTGTCCATTGTATATTCTAAGTTCGAGAGATGATACTAGATGATATGATATGGTGCCCATGAAAATCCCAGATCTCATCATCATCATCATCTTCATCACCATCTGCATCCTCTGCGAGCCTCTGCGATGTGATGTACTAGGCCAACATCCTCCAAGCTTAAAAAAACCTAAAAAGAAAAAAACAGATGGACAGAGAACTCTCCCTTTGCTGGGCTGGTCTCGGACTGGGTGCATGGACTAGTCCTACTTCCTACACTTTAGGATCTAAATAGCTCGTCAGCCGCTTATCGAGCTCTCTGCACCTCACCCATCACCCTCTGATCATCTGATCTTCTCCTTCCACTCTCTCTTTCTTCCCTCCCTTGCCCAACTTCTTCCTCTCCCCCTTCTTTCAATTCAAGCTTTCCTTTACACTCCTCATCCCCCCTACATATTAATCCAGCTCACAGTCTGCCTTACACTACTAGTTCGACAGTCCTTCTACCTACTCTGATCTTCTCTCTGTCCCCCCTTCTTGTTGCAAACTCCCTCATAATACTGTACCTTTCCTCGTAGTTTTGTCTGGTTCTTGTGCTTTCTTTTTTTTTTCTTCTTCTAAAAAAAAACCACACCGATATCGAAAAAAAATTAAAGAAAGTTATCTGAGTGGGCTTGGATTCCAAAAAAAACAACAACAACAAGGTCAAGGTCAAGTCCAACCAAGAAAGCAGTTCACCGCTCAAGGTCTAATCGCACATCTCGCAGTCGGGCTACAAATCTCTAGACGGATACAATCATAGATTGGCCGACGAGACAGCCTTGGGACTATTTAAACCGGCCTACGACTTATCTCCGTGTTTGTTTGTTTTCGTTTATCCCACCACCACCACTCCTATCATCCGCTGTTTTTTGCCTCCTTCATCTTGAATTGATTATCATCAAAACCATCCGAAGCTGGTCTTCTTCATATCTTTATATCCCGTCCAAACTTCTGACTCACCTCATCATCCCTCTCCAAAAACTATCGATCTTCTATCCCCCCCCCCCCCTGCTCCATCCAATAAAACAGGCTCCCTTCCTCCTCCATCCACCCATCCGTCTCTCTTCAACCGCCCCCTCTCAAAAAAAAAAGAAACATCCTACCTTGAAGCAGTTTATTAAGTATACTCCCCACATTCCCCCTCCAACCCAGAAAACAAGAATGCAACCAATCACCGCGATGTTCTGTCTCCTCAGCGTGGCCGCGACGATGCTTCTCCTTGCCGAAAGCAAGCCGGTGATGCCGCCGTTTGTGGCGCATTCGTATGTCCGTTTGGGCGGACGGGACGAGGCGCGGGGCAACAAGAGCGACGAGAATGCGGTGGCGTTCACGAGCTGTAATGCGGACGGCTACGAGATCCATGGGGTCGTTAATGCGATGACCATCACGCCTTGTCAACGATCCTCCGCCAACGATCAATGCACTTTCATCAGGGGCAGGTCTGTCTTTTTTCTCTCTATGCTCATCCTCTTATCCCCTCCAAACTTCGTTGACCGTCGTCTCTTGTTAATGGGGCTCCTCCTCCAGAAACTACACCATCGAGCTCGACTTCCTGTCCTACCTCGACTCCCAGAACCCCAGGAGCTCGATCGTCGCTGGTGACCCCAAGGAAGGACCCTACGCCTACTCTGGCCAAAGCTTCGCCGCTTGCAAGGTCAACCAACACGCTTTCTTCTTTACTCTGTCACCCCCGCATCCTATTTCTCGTGCTGACGCGTCTTGTTTTTTTTTGTGGACTGGGGGTTATATACAGTACACCAATTGTCCGATCCAAGCCAATGTAGCATCGACATATGTATACCATTTCCAGACCCTAGCCTCTGTAAGTTAAATAGCCCTTTTCCCCGCTTGATGATCGAATTCCGAAGCGCAATCCAGCTGATCCTTTCGTCGCTTGGACGGCCTCAGGACTTCAACTATCTCACCTTCAACGTCACCAATGACTTCTTTGGGCCCAGCTTGTTCTGCGCCGGCACGCCTGTCAACTTCCAGCAACAGGCTTGACCAGCTCCTCCTCACTCTTGTTTTCGCCCCTTCAAAGACCCCGCTCCATTGGCGCCCCCCCCCCCCCCTAAAAAAACTCATTTAATTACCCGGCTCTCGTCGCTCTTATCTCTGCTTCGACACTCCCTTCGTCGAAGAAAGGACAGTTTCTTTTTTTTCTTCTCCTCTTGTCACTCCCGCTCTCATCCAAATTGTTCTCCCCGTCTCTATGATCTTATGAAGTGAAGTACCCCCCCCTGCCCTCCTATTGACCTTAATTAATAATAATAATATGTTTTTTTTTTCTTTGATGTTTCCTGTTTTGTTTCTTTGATGTGTTTGATCATGAATCTATCTGTCGTGTTCCTTTTTCCATTTTTTCTTTTGTTATGAAAGGCTCTTGGGAAACAAACAGAGAGAGAGAGAGGGAGGAAGGTATAAGAGTGAGTGGCCAGAAGAAGTTGTGTGTGATGGGATTTCATGGGCTATTGCGTTCCTCTCTTGCCCATGTCTCTTCCTCCCTCTCCCTATACATATGTCCCTGTCCACCCTCATCCACACCCGTCCCGCCCCGGTACGTATAGTCTCTTTTGCCCGCTTCCCCAGAGGTCTTCTTGTGGTTACCTTTGAGGAGAATGATGATTGTCATAATCTCGTATATCCCATATTCCTTGAGTTCTTCAAAAATGCTTTCCCCCCCTTTTCAAAGACTTGGATTGACTCCAGTAGGAACCAGGTCCCTTTGTGGTGGTTCGAAAACTTCAAGTGAATGCGGATGAGATGTCCAGCCATCAAGTCAATGGTTATCTAGTGGCTGTCCACTGGAATGTTGCGCTGGATCACTCATGTGTAAGAGCAGGACGGGGGGGGGGAGCATTCCAGGAATCGGATTAAGCATGAAGGGTTAGGGAACAAAACGATGACCTTAAAAGTGTCAATGGAAGACAACTACATATATATATAGTGGCACATCTCTGTCAGGATCATCAAGATGCAAATCCAGAAAACAAAAAAAAACGTAGGAAGACAACATGTTGGTTGTGCTCCTATCTCTCATGTATATGCCCTGTCTGAAGAAAAAAAAGAAAGGTCACTTGATTATAACACGGATTTTGTCGCTTGTGCAAGCTTACTACAATAAGGAGGTGGTTGTTGGGTATTGCAAAAAGCGGTGGATGTTTGGACACATTTGGGTCCGTGCTTGCTAGTGCTCCTTGTGCAAAGTTTTGTTGGGGGGGGGGGAGAGTTTTTGGCTTTTCAAGAATGTGTTTATTGCCCTGCAAAAATGAATGGAGAGGAGGCCGGTGTGAAGTGTCTGGTTGAGGGAGGGGGGGGGCTACATTTATAAAGGGGTTTTGTTGTTTTTTTGCTGTCCAGTAACCTTGCAACACACTTTCCTTTTTTTGGTATTCTACGTCTATCCTATCTTGGACACCCATTAAACCTGCAGCCAATTTTGTTGGTTAGCCAACAGCTATATCAATTTGAATAATTAACTTTGCAATGTGAGACTTGGATTTGCTCGCAAGTTGTAGCAGGCCGCGGGGTTCCCAAATTTGACCATTCCCTTTCCTGAAAAAGTTTTGATTCCAATCTTTTTGCATTCTTTTTTGGCCTTACTCCAAAACCTTGTATAAAAGCGCATTTTCCTGGTTATACATATTTATGTCTGGGCAATCAAGTTTATCATTCTGGACCACATGGCACCATTAACCATGCTCATCTGTTCAACCCATTCAACAATCAAGCTGTGTATAAACATGCACATAGAATGTGGCCACATATTTAGGTAGCGAACGGATGCACCCCCACACCAAGCATGGTCAGCTTGTGCCCGGATTTGTAAATGTGTAAATTTGGGCATATTGACTCCGCAACATTGAGAGTTAGAGAGGTGGCGCGCGTCCAAGAGGAAACATCAGCCAAGCAGACACCGGACTGCACACACGTGCAGCCAAATCAGCAAGCCCTGAAAGCAATGGGACCAACGGAAGCTTGCGACCCTTGCAGGAAGGAAGCTCGCCGGTGCAACTCCGAGTCTCCGACCACCCCGGATATATATACTTGGCAGAACCAACGTCAAACCACCGTCGGAAGCCAAAGGGAAATCATCCAAAATCTAAAAATAAAGAAATTTTGCCCCCCCCCCCCCCCCCAACCACCCTGGGGCCCGGGTCTTAGTGCGAAGAAGGAAACAATCCACCCGGACCAATAATACCTTGACATTGCCGAATCGGCTGGGCAAAAGCCGTCCAGCCCCCAAATCCATACTCGGCGAGCTCGAGGAGCATCAAGAAGGCGATCCTCCTAAGCTCACCTAGCAAGATTCTTCAGCATACTTAGTCAAGCGACCACCAGACGTCGCTTGAAGACGGAAAGGGTACGCTGACTCGCTGAGCCTGCGGCGTGGAAGTCTTGGAGAGTGTCCAGAGTGATCACAAACAAGTGCTCAACCTGGTCCGGGAGAAGTTTTCGGTCTCGCCCAGGTCCGCAGCTTCAAGCGAGCCGGATCATGATAGACGGATGTACATAATTTACTGTAGGCTGTACTCTCACATGAGTCATGATGAGGCTCCCCCTCCCGTGATGGCCATGAGATATAAATGTTTAAAAATTACAGATGCTGTATGTCTGTGTTCAATCCTGTACGTCATTTCGAATACACTCTAAAGTGGACTCCCAGGCTCTCCCAGGTCTTTTTATCAGAGGCAGCCAAGGAAATTTAAAACCCACAAGGCGCAGGCACCAGTCAAATATCCTTTCTTTACGCATTGGAGCAGACCTTCCGCATTCGCCCTCTGGTACATCTTCTTCAACACCGAATAATACTTCTTGATCAGTAACATACCTATTTTGGCTTTTCCATCGTGGACGACGAGAAACGACGACCGAGATGATTTACTCAGGAATCAGTAGCTTGATTGGCCTTCTATTGGCAAACTCCGTTCGGAGCGACCTCATCCAACCGCCGCCCTTCCTAGTCCAATCAGCCGCGCTGGTCGATAACCAGGGCCAGCCCATCATCCCGCCTGATATTTCCAACCAGGTCGCGTTCACAAACTGTCCCGCGGGCGATTATCCGGTGTATGGTAACGTGGAATCAATGACGATCACGCCGTGCCAGAAAGCCACTCTGGGCGATCCTTGCACCTTCGTCAAGGGAAAGTGAGTCTCGGCGACCATCCTCTTCTCAGTCGTGCTTTCTTCCCTGTTGCTCAGCGCTAAGCAAACATTTGTTTGGTTGTCTGGGCCCGGTAACTAGCAACTATACCATCCAGTTTATCTTCACAACCTCGCTCAGCTCAAACCATCCCCGGAGCTCGATCGTCGCCACCGGCAAGGACGGCGCGTATGCATACTCGGGCCAGAGCTTCAACGGTTGTAAAGTTAAGCGCGCCAGTGAAAAAACCCATTCCCGCGGGATGCATATCCAGGCTTGTGCTGACCCCACTACTACCCATTGTGCATCCAACTTTACACAGTACGCTTCCTGTCCGGTATTTGCTGACCGGAGATCAGCTTACACGTATAACTTCCATACTTTGGCATCCGTCAGTCGCACGGTGCTTGGCACATATTTCCTCTGACCTTTGATCCATAAGCTGAGCCTGCTCTTCCCCATGCTCTAACCTCAACAGTCGTTCGACCATCTCACCTTCAACCTTACCCAAGATGTAGAAGGACCCAGCATGTTTTGTGCCGGCACGCCCATCATCTTCCACAAGTGATAACCCTCAAGCTCCCAAGGGTATTTCATCTTCTTCCCATTCAAGCCCGTTTTGGGCGATAGAACCTCGACTTGTTCACCCTGAATGCCATTCAACATGCTCCATATCACATTCTCTCTTTCCCTTTCAGACTTCCTTTACTCTCTAGCTCTTCTGACCCTCTCTGTTCCTGTAAGCTTTGTACAAACTTGACCAAAATGCATGTTTTTTTTTGTGAATGAGCAAGTTCAGTTCTTTAATTCTTTTTCCATAATTTAAACACTTGTCTCATGAAATTTCAACAATGATGGTTTTATTTGGGGGTTTGGTTAAACAACTCCCAAAAACTGGAGAGCCAATTCCCATACCCTGGATTCCCCAAAAAATGGGAGTCAACCCCCCAAAACCATTGACTGGTTTGGGAGTTGACTCCCTAAAAAAATATTACAAAAAAGGAAACCCCCAGTTGGCAAAAGAGCGGCCAGGAGGATTCCTCCTGGCCGCTGAGGTACACTCTCAATGGCCGGGAGTTTACTCCCCATTCCTCTTGGCTGTTGAGGGTATACAATATAATTATTAATTACTACAACTTGATTGTAGTCTTTCTGTAAAAAGGGATACATGTGTAATTTATGAGAGTATTCCAATGCTTTGATTTCAGCCATGCTGCAATCTGTTGTTCAAATGCTTATATGAGGATCTGAAAACTGTGTTGAAAAAAGCTTTGAAGTTTCCATTTATACTGTTCCTTTTACCAAGGGCAATTATTCTGATTTCCTCTTTCCCTGAATTCCTGATCCAATGCTCTAAGTATTTCCATAATAGGGAAGGGATTGATTGTGTCCAACTATTGTAAATTTTTTGATTTGATGGAAGAATTGCATATTCTTTGAAACTTTGTATTGCACTATTAAACAAGACTCCAATTCCCTTATTCTTTGATTCAATATAGCCATGGGGGATTATAATTGTATCAATTATTTGAACAAAGAAGAGTAATAATACAAAAAGTTTCTTTTTGGTTGAAGTTGAGAATACTTCATCTTCCATTTCTTCTTGAAAATTTATATTGGTCTGTTGTTCCCAAAATATGAGCCACATATTTTTGTTCTTCAGAAATTCAGTGCAGCTTTTCTCAAGTAATCGTGTAGATATGCGGTTCTTATCTATTCCAGTCTCATAGTTTCCATCATCTTTTTCACAGGTAAGAGCTGCGCTAAAACGTTTCAGTAACTGGTGGGAATTTTCACAATTCAACATGATATTGCCTGTTGGCTCAAATACTTCCATTCTTTGGAATAACTCATTCATCATATTTTTTATCATTTGGTTTGGGTATTCAACATAGATACTTTTTTAATTGAAATACAAAGTTTTGATTGGGAATTCTACAGTGGACTTGAGTTGATTGGTCAATTGTTTAATTGAAGATCTGAAAACAGTGTTGAAAAATATTTTGAATTTTTCTTTCATGGGTTTTGTTTTCCCCAAAGCAATTGACATTAGCTCTTTGGTCCCTGACCTCTTGATCCAATGATACAAAAATTTCCACAATGCACTGGTGCTCCCATCTTTTGGCCAGGCCCTTTCAAGGTCAGATTTTTCAGATAAAATGATGCTATATTCTTTGAAGCTTTCTATTGCTTCTTTAAACAGGACGGGAAGGTTCAGACCAAGCTTGGTATCAGCCATTTCAAGGGGTATAAATATTGTATCAATCATTTGAACATAAAACAAAAACAAAGGAAAGAGTTCCTTTAAGTTCACACTTTCAGACTGTAATTCATTGACTACATTTAAGAGATTGATATTTGTCTGTGCTTCCCAAAATTTGAACCATAAATTCTGGTTGTCCAAGAATTCATCACAATTGTCTTTTTGAAAGTCACGGGTAACATTGTTCCTGATATAAATTCCAGTCTCAATGACATCCTCAGCATTCTTTATATGAAAGGCTCTTTTAATTTCAGTAAGCCATCCTGAGGCATTTTCTGAATTTAACATAATACTTCCTGCTGGCCCTGATTCCATTAGTTGAAAAAGATGATTAATTCTTCTTGAAATATGAGAATATTTATCTTGTGCAATAAGACTATACTTATCAAAACATACAAAATTTATGTCTGGTTTGTAAATAACACCAATTTCACCTTTCTGCTGGCTTTTGGTTGTACTCAATGATGGGGAAGATTTTTGGTGCTCATTATTGAATTGTGATGTTATGAGCTCATGATTAGAGGCTTTGATATTATTTGGACATGAAATCCCAGAAATAACATGGTTGGAATCTACAACCTTATGCATATTAGTTTCAACTCTTGAAACATATTTGGGGGTCAATCCCCCTTTAATATATGTTGATTTCCCTTTTAAATCAGAAAAATCATGAGCACATGAGCCACTTGACTGGTTTATGTGCCTTGTTTTTTGTTTGAAAATATGCATGTTATTATTACTGGTTTGAAATTTAGATTTTGAACCCAACTTTATTTTATCACCTTTGGCTACTGCTTTGAACCCAATATGACTTTTTGATACTTTTTTTGAATCATTTGAATCAACTTTCTCTTTTGAAGAATTGGAGTTCATACCCTCTTCTAAATATGCATGTCTACTGAGGGAATTGTTCTTTTTTTGATTCAATAACTCAAGCACATTTGAAGATGTTTGTTCTTTATTTGAAAATGATACCATAGGGACAATTTTATTGAGCTTGTTTCCAATATTGTTATTTTGTAAAGAATGTGATAATGGCTGGTTCCTATGGCCATTATTGAATTCTGTGCACACAAGCTGATTACTTGCACATTTTTAACTTATAGAGTTCCTCTTGGGTTTGAAAATGTCAACACTGGCAGGTTTTAGATTAAATCTGTGATTTGTATTTGAACTGATTACTTCTTTTGACTGAGTTGCTTGAAAAAAGCAGGTTTCATCTTCTCCACTGTTCTGTTTGGAAGTAATTGGTTTTCCCCCTGCATGCAACTTCAAAGGACCAATTTTATTAATTTTGTGTAGATTGAGTTTAGTTTTTTGATCCAATTTTGACATGACATGGTTCAACTCAGGCTTCTTGATTTTTTTTCCCATGTGATTGATTTCAAATGTTTTCCTAATTTTTGAATTGATTTCAGGTCTTGGAATTTCCTTTTTGGAATCAGACTTCAGGATTTCTTTGCCTTTGACTCTCTGTCTTCCTTTCGACAGGGTCTTCTCCCTATGCTTCCCAAAGCCTTGGCTAACTGCAGTTTCTATGTAAGAGGATGTCAAAAATTCACCCAAAAGCTTTTCTTTTTTCCCTTGATCTTTGGCCTGAGGTTTACTTTTAGAACTCTCCAAATAATCAACTGATGTGGCTTTTCTACTTGTCAAAATTTCAGTCCCATGATGTGAATTAGAGTCTGTGTTGGTTCCTGAGTATTCACTCTGGTATTCCCAATGAGGATGATCAATCTTTTTCCCAGTACTCCTAGCCTTATGTTGGTCCCACTGATCTTGAGCTAAATCACTTTTAGATAGTTTCTTTTTTTGTATCAGAACAGGATTTCTTGAAAAAGGTTGTGGATCCCTTCCAGGATATTGGGTCTGTTGGCTTATATTTTTTAGATTTCCAATGCTGTTGACTTGTTGTCTATCATCTGATGACATCAAGGAGGATGTAGGATTTAGATCTGGAGGGTTGGAGGGTTGGACCGGAAGTTTATCACTGGAGAGACTACTTGTAGGGTGTTGATAGTCATGCATTGCATAACATGCAACAGTGACCTTCAGAAAGGCAAAGAGGCCCTTCTTGTTCATCAGCAGTCTTTTTATGATCGGATGTAAAGTGTGTAAGTGATCCTGGGCAATTTTTGATACAAAAGGAGGGCACAGGGAATGGGTCTGCTGTTCTTGGGTCGGATGCCAACGGACAAGTCAATACATAGACACATTGCAGCACACGTATCTCAAGTGAGAAAAAATTACTACGAGATGGTTGTACATTTTTCAAAACCTAGCCCCACCTCACCAAAAAACTTGAGCTGCTGTTCTTCATAATGCCCCAAATCAGGTTTTCCAACGTGCCTGATAAGGAACCGTGTACATGTTGTGTTTCTTGAGGAAACAATTCAACAAAATCACGACATTGTAATTTTTGGTGGACAGGCCCGGACATTTGTACTTGGTCATATGGCTGAGAAGCATTGCGAATAGCAGAAGCGTTTTCTTGCGGAGCTTTTCTATGCGAATTTGCGTCACCATGGGACAGGGCTAAATTATTCAAGTCACCGGCAACCTACGGTACTTGGACAAGCTAGGGGACAGTGGGCACACCAATCTCCTTTCGCCGCCAGGCGCTCAGGACTCGAGCGGACTTGGTTAAGTTTGGCCAGGCGCACTTTCTTGTTTAGTGAACTAGGTTTATCATCCACATCGGACAACTCTCTTCCCAGTTACTAGTGGTGGGTAGCAACAATTTGGACATGATACCTGAGGATGCGGCATATGGCTCCTACTGGTATCATCACTTCTAACTTTTTTCCCCTCCCTCCCTCACCCCATAACAAAAGGATGTTGTGAATATTTCAATCCTGGATTAACCAAAACCTGCGATATGTATCCAAGTACTGTTCATGAACACAAAATGCAGACTTGATCTGTTCATATTCGTTTATTTTCAATTGACAGGAATTGTAGTTTGTTTAGTCCAAGCACGCTGGCATGGTTTAAGTAATTCAGACAAGTTCAAGTCGATATAGTGTCCAGTGTTACTTCGGGGGTCCGACAGGGTTCAAGTAATTTAGACAAGTTCAAGTCTATATAGTGTCCAGTGTTGATGCGGTAGTAAATAATATGTCCATCTTGTTTCAAAATCAAAGACTTCGAAAGAAAGAATCGGTGAAATTCTCAAGGTACAAATGTGGCAGGTGTTGTGCACGCGTTGTCGTAATCACCGGCTGCGATTGAGACAAAAGTGTCATCGCCATAGTTGGGCTGTTGGGAAAGAGAGGCCAGATAAAAGATAAAGGATTGATGGGCACTGATCAGTCTCAACGGATGAAGATTTCCCCAAAGCGGATCTGAATCCCTGCTTACCGACACGCCGAAATCACGCGGGCAGCATGAGCCGTTGTCTACTGGGAAATTTTGGATTGTGAATTGTTCGCATGTGGCTGTCGGGCCGGCTTGCATGGCTCTCATCACTGTCAATTAAACCCCCCAAGGAACGGAAATGAGAAGGGTTGTATCATCGGTTAGGTTCATTCAAATCGAACAAGCAATGTAATCTGGAACACCCACAAGCGTAATTCTGGGCGTTATGGTTACCGTCAAGCGAGGTAGCCCGGCGACATAAAGCTACGGGCTTATCGCCCTCACATCTAAAAATCTGGATTCCAAAGACCACTTCAGATTGGATCAAGAGGACCACTAGGGATTTCATGGCGCTTGAGAAATGCATGGTATGTTAAAAGATCAATAATATGTAATCCGAGATGGAAAATCTAGATGCGGTTTGACTGGTGTGGTTGGGGCTAAAAATCTAAATGACTGAAATAATCAAAGAATGGGAATATGGTGTTCTTGAACGAAGAAATTGCGAGACCAGAAAGCGCCGAGTGATATGATCGCAGAACTTATGTAGGCTCGAAGGATCACACAGCATGTTCGAAGGCCTGAGGCTGAGTTTTTGGGATGAGCCGTCAGAGTGGTATCGGTTGACAGGCCTCGAGTATTCTTATCACTTTGCGACGAGAGAGAAGTTTGTCTCCGTCCTCCATGAAACCAACCTCTAATCCAGAGATCTGAGCCTTGAAGGGCGTTTCGCCTGTAACAAATTTTCGGCGACAAGTAAATCAACGTTTGAAGGACACTTGTCTTGGATACATCTCTCGGACTCGGCCCCTGGACTGGTGCAGAGGCAACATCGGTTCATTGAGGTCCCGTTTCTATTTCCATCACTACATTGGCATTGACCGGGGCGCCAAGGCCTGTTTGGCCGACTTGCATTATCATTGTCCGACCGTGACTATCGATCAAAAACCAGCCAGGCGGTGTAAGATAATGTCTGAATTCGTCGATGAGCTTTGAGGAGGCAAGCAGCATTTGATATGGATACATTCATACCGAGCTCAATGAGCTTCGCTCCTTAGCCAACGTGTCGATGTCTTGGATGGAAACGATTGGGAGAGTGAATTGGCAATTTTCTAAAAAAAAAAAACTTTACTTGGATTATGGGGTGTGTACACAACAAAGAATGAGGCGAGGAAAGTATGTATCATCACAAGAAATTGTAATGGAATGATGCTTTGTAATACTTAATTAGAAAAATAAAGTAAAAAAAATAAGCAACAGGCAGATTCAAAGATACAACAATCGTGAAGATCTGCAACAAAAAGTCTGGAGAGCTTCAAGACGAACGAAATAGAGGGTATGCAGCTCTTTTGTACACACATGTAAGCAAAAAGATCAGGTGACCATATCATTCATACAATGGGAATGACGACGTTCCGGGAGGGAAGATGAGGCGGAACGAATACTGGTTCAGCCGATGAAGAGAGATTGGCCTGGTCTCGATTTTCAGGGATTTGATGATTACCGCCCTCTGTGGTTTCTGTGTTACCAGTTGAAACGATAGGAACCTGAGCAGACACTAAAGGTCTAGAAGGCCGGGGTGTGGACGTCGGACTGGCGGCCAAAGAAGCCGTTGTTGATGGCCGATTACTTGTGGGAGGATTGGTGGAAAATAGGAGGGATTTGACTTGGGAAACCGTCAGATCAAATAGAAATAAGTCTTGTTGAAAGTCGCTTGCTTCATTGGTCACTCTCGATTGACCTCTTCTTGAAGTTTCATTGCTTTCATCCGATCTTTCTTCTACTGAATTCCTCAGATCCAATAGTGGATCCGTTCCACTTGGTTTGCTGGGAGGTTGGTTGGCTTCAAGGTCTTCAAGGTCTTGATGATCTGAAAAAGTGACGAGAATCGAGTAAATATGAGAAAAAAAAAAAAACAGGTTTGAAGGGAATAGGAGTCATATGGAGGATTGGAGATCGTCGACGTACCAGGGCTGATGGTTGATGATTCATAGTGGTGAGCGGCGGTAGGATCGGCAGATATTGGGATCGAGTGAGATTGGGTGAAACTTATGAGGACTAAAAGTAGCTGAACCAAACAGCTAAAAACATCTAAGCCGACGAGAAAAGCGATGATGGCTAATGGGTGATTCCAAGTGACTGATTCACAAGAACATGATGAAAAAAAAAACAGTCAGGATTTACTGGGTCAAAAAAGGGGAAATGGACAGGACGATAGGAGGCTTACATTGTCCAATGAAATCAACAAGAATCCCGCTTGGGTCATAGTTTGATGAGGAAAGTAAACTGAGATGACTCGATAATGCACAAAAACAAATCGCAAACGAGGCCAATGCGAAGAATCTTAGAGGTCTATCTGGTTGGATTTGTTTAGGTTGTGAGAATTGGACTTCAGAAACCGTCCTGAGAATGACTTGAAAGTCGGTTATTTCGTTCGATTGTCCATTTAACGACATGTAAATATGTTTACACATATTTGTTCAAGGCGATTTTGTTGGATTTTTTTTTGTGACGCATCAGAATTCGGAGAAAGAATGTAATGAAATGTTAGCTCTTGCCTACTGAGCAAAGACCACTACTTTCTGGGTTCAACAGTTGAACTGAATACTGACAGATCAAATTTTTCCCATCAAGAGTGTAGCATAGTACAACAAGGGCGTAGAAGAGAAATTCGAGCTGAAGTAGTTCATCACAACAAAAAGGGTCAATTGTTGAGCAATCAAGAATCATACATGTAATTATCACAATGAGAATGTATGCATACATACTTGTTGCATCAACATTGCAAGTTTAATCTTCCGCCGTTGTTCTGCCCTTTGGCAGCGCTCCGATTCTTGGGATTCGTCATCGGATTGCTCTCGTTCATCAAACATGGATGTGATGTTGGTGATATTGACGTTCCTGACTGGGTTGACATTGCTCGAATCGGCGGTAGTATCTTGGGCCGATGATCGATAATCCATCTTTGTTTGAAGACTGAAATGCTCGACAAAAATCGATACGCAAGAGATGTCGATGGATTATTTCGCCTCACAAGACACTCCACGCTCGATCTGATCACGAGTCCACTGGCGAACGATAAAAACTGCGTTGGATTTATTGAATCGGAATCAGTCAGTTTGATGTTTCTGCCATTCTCCTTTCGGTGGGAAAATGAAGACAGAAGAAATACATACTTGGTTTCATTAACAGCCAGTTGCAGTTCAAGTCGGATGGTACACCGATGCCATCCAAGCAGAATGTGAGGATCGGTAAGACAAGCTAGTCCCCGGACGCTGTCTATGACGAGACTCCGTCCCCCGGGGACGCGGGGTCCTTTTGAGACCCTCCATTCGGGGGGGGGTCAACTCAAGACTAAAGGCACTGCGCTGGAACACACCCACAGGGACAATTCCAATAGCCCGGTTCACGTAGCTGCTCGTCCGCAGTTAAAAATTTGAAAACGAGCAACCTTCAACCAATCCTCGCTAAATTTTTTAACTTGTAATTTGGCCCGCGAGCAACAATTGATCCTCAAACGAGCATATGGAAGCGTGCTTGTCAACATAAATCACCTCACCTACCACCCCCGCCCCCCGTCCACCTCAGCACTACGGATCTTGTTCTACTTACTCATCAATTTCCACAGTGAAGGCACCTCATCACTCTGCCACAATACTCATCTGTATGTAAATCCTTTTTCCTCCTTTCTGTTTGATTTTTTTTGCCCTTTGCCTACTTTTTGAAAAATACATACTGATCAATTGTCTTTTCAAGGCCATGAGAGGTTATTCTGAACGCCAAAGCCGGATCCGGGATCTTTTCTTGATTATTGTATGGTTAGAGCACGAGGAACTGGAAGACATGGTTGATAGTTGGTTCCGCCACATTCGAATTCCGACTGAAGCCGAACTCATTTTCCCCAGGAGCAAGATTCCACAACGGATGTATAATCTACTCCTCAGTGATCGGGCAATTTTCGATGAAGGGCTTCGACTAGTTTTATCGAACCAATATCTTGTTCCCCGACCATCACCCAAACTGCGAGACGAATATGACCTCGAACGACTGTTCAACATGCCCGACATTGAATTCCGACAGGCTTCAAGGACCTCAAAGGCCGGATTTGTAGGATTACTCAACATAATTTGCACTAATCCGGTTTTCCATTGGGGCGGGATCCGTCCGCAACTTCCAATAGCTCATCAACTTGCACTCACGCTCGAGCGGTTGGGATCAAATGGTAACGGAGCATCAGTTGGGCGGTTCTCTAGAAACTTGAGCGTGGGTCGCGGGAGGGTCGTCAAAGTATCTCGTCGGGTTATTGAGGCTTTGATCTCACTAGGACGGCGCTATGTGGTTTGGCCTGATGCGGCTCGACGTGCTGAGATATCCGAGGTAATGTCTAGGGAGGGTTTTAGGGGATGTGTGGGGTTTGTAGATGGAACTACAATCCCAATGTTTCAGCGACCCGGTTATGATGGAGAGGTGTTCTTCGACCGGAAACGACGTTACTCAATCAACGCCCAGATTATCTGCGACTGCGACAAATATATCACATCTTTCATCACTGGATGGCCGGGCTCATGTGGGGATAGCCGAGTTTACAAGAGGATGCAGCTCCATCTGAACCCATCAAATTACTTTGACGAAGGTTAACATCCACGACTCCCTCTGGCATAGGAAAAAAATCTGACATCGTTCACTCTCTTCTCTAATCAGGCCAATACTTGTTGGCTGACTCAGCGTATGAGCTGAGCCATACGGTGATACCTGCTTACAAGGTACCTGCGGCAAACATCACAATCAACTCGCAATTCAACTTTTGCTTGGCAAAGGCTAGGGTTCGAAACGAACATACGATTGGTGTCCTCAAGTCTCGATGGAGCTCCTTGCGGGAGATGCGGTTACATCTGTATCATTGTCAACATATGCGGTTACATCTGTATCATTGTCAACATATGCGTGCATATGTTTCTTGGCTGTACAGTTGTATAATACTTCACAATCTCCTCGCAGGTCTCGGTGATCAGTGGGCTGAGCTCGATGACAACGATTTGTTACCGCTTGATGATGATTCAGATGAAGAAGATATTGACGAGAGTGCAGAAGATTTTTGAGACCGCTTAACTATAAATTGTGTATGCTACAGCATGTACCAGAGGGGGATTTTGTAGGAGTCGATTGAGCCCCTCTAGGAAAATCTGTGATAACTATTATTATTAGTCTGATAACCATTACTATTAGTCGACCGAGCCAATTATGTGACTACATTTGCTCTCAGATTACGAATTGGATTGCTTGGTCATTTGCTTGGTCATTGCTTATATATTTATCTCTGTTCATTGCTTGTATCTTTATCTCTGCAGGCAAAAAGGAAAACAACAAACCAAAAGATTGAGATTAAGTAAAATAACAGACCGATCAATTGTTACCTGAGTTTGAGTCAAGGGAAGTAAAAAACCAGACCAATCAATTGATACCTTAAATTTGATGACAGAGAGAAATAGACCAAGCATGAGGACATGTAATAACTAAAAGCAACAAAAAGGCAAAAAAACAGTTCAAAATAATTGAGATCGATCGATCCAAAAAAGAGGGGAAAAAAATCCTATCAGAATCAACATGTTCGGAAAAGTATCTACACATCCAATAGTGTATCAGCAAAATGAAACAAAAAGCATGAGATTAATGTAAATTCACCTACAGGTCTAATCATAAATCAGCCTCATGTATGCCTCGATCTCAGACTGGGTTCTCCCCTGGTTGACAAGTTCCATGATGACATTTTTTTTCTCGTTCTGAAGCGCTAGTTGCTTCTTTTCTTTTTCTTCAGCCCGCTTTTCTTCACAATTGTATCGTTCTCGCTCCCAATCAAGTTGCCTATTCCATCGGTCTTTGTCTCGTGCATCTCTTGAGTTTTCTCGCTCTTCTTTTTTTTGGTCGCGGTGTGGAAAGTAAGGCGCGCCCTAGGGTATTTCTTGTACCTCTCCGCTCCGCAACGCGTCTTGCTCCGGTTTGTTGTCCCGGGGTAACTTGCTTGATGGTCTTGTAGGTAGGTAAAATAACTCTCTTTTATTGTTCTTTGGTAGGTAATACTCTAACTCTAATCTATCTCTAACAATTCTTTAGGCTAATACACGATTCACTCCTAAGTCACTCTGTTTTTCTGATATGTTCTCAGTCCCCTCTTTTTTTCCTCTCTCCCCCCTCTTCTGCCTCGAAGCCCACTCCTCCTCAGTTTCCCACACTCCAGTCCCTTCCTGCTTCCCGCGCTGTCATCCGCTGTCACCCCCTCGGACTCCGCATGTCACCCCTCCGACGTCTGTCGGTCCAGGTACTCCTCCGGCCGCTCCTGAGCAGGTCTCCCACCGCCGCTTCCGCCTCTGGTCCGCTCCGAACCCCGCTTCTGCCCCTCGGTGCTCCCCGCTCCTTGTAGCCCCTCCGCAGTATACCCTGAACCCCCGTTCCGCAGTCGGCCGTGATCCCCGGCGTCCGTCGATGCCCGGATTCCCCGCAGTAAGCTTTTCAGAACCTTGTGCATTCGGTCTACTTTTTCTCCACTTTCCCGCGCCTCGGAAGGCTTGACTTTCCACTAATGCACCGCCGCTTTCCTCAGCCTGCTTATGTAGCGTCAGCTCCGCGTGCTTTCCGCATCAGCGCCGCGAGCATTCCGCATGCCCCAAACAAACCGGCCAAAGCTTTGGTCAAGGCGCGCTCCCGCCACCACAGCGGGAGTCTTCACACTGCATTCTTTGTTCCTCCACTTCTATTTGACGCTCGATGATCGCAAATCTGGAGTCGGCCGAGCTGGAGAATGCAGTCGCCAACGAGACCTTTGGCGCTTGTTGAGGAGGGTTAGATGGTGAACTCGCCGAGATCGAAGCCAACTGGGCGCACCTGCCAAGAGGTGTTTGACGGCCACGAGCTGATTGTCTCCCACCCGCATTGGCACAACTGGGAGTCGGTGTTGTTGGCTGGGTTGAGCTATTGTTGGCTGATCGAGGAGGTTCTCCTTGAACTGAATGGGTTGAGGGATCTCTTGTTGCCGTTCCAAGAGGAATTGAGAGGCTCAGCGGCGTACTGTTTGGAAGCGAATCGGTGAATTCGTCGGTTGACGACTCTTGGGTAGGGTCCCTCCCTAAGCCCAAACGATCAGGAGCCTCAGACGTAGCGGTTTCTTCCAGTCGATTGATTGAGGAGGTAACCGTTTCAAGCTGTTGCCCAGTGGGGAGATCACCTTCTTGACTCTCGTCACTTTCTTCGTCAATCGGAGGGAGTTCAAGGCCCGGTTGTGAGTGGTCGAATTCCAGCATGGCAACAACATTGGCTTTGTCTTGTAAGATAGCGTCAATACGATCAAAACAAGGACATATCTTCTCTAGAGCCTCTGCAAGTGTTTGCGGTCCTTCACTACTCTCGATTCCAGCGCCGGTATTCTCCTCAAACCATTTAGCTTCTAAGTATTTCTTCTTGTATCGATCGATTCGAAGCTGTAATCTCCTGCCATTGAGGAGCAAGTCGGGATTGGTGTTATTCATCCACACTGCAAACACATCGAAAGCCTGTGATTTCGTCATTTTCGTCATTCCCACCCCAGTCTTTGACCCATCACCATACAAGTCGGTATAATGTTCAGTGTTCTCCAGATATGAACAGATGTTCTCGAAGTCGCTATGCACAAATTGCTTGCCTCGATAGTCAGCATCCTCCGAGCCACTCAATCTGGTTGATCTCGATCCACTTCGTGTTTTCCTTCTCTTATCAGCTTCTTTTCTCTTTCCAGCTTCTTTTGCCTGTTTTTCAGCTTCCCTTGCCTGCTTTTGGGCTTCCTTTTCTTGATTTTTGATGAGTTTTGCCATCTCACGTTCTTGCTTGCGACAAAGTCGAGCCTGCTCTTGCTCAGCACGAAAAACATCCATCTCGTCCTGGGTGCGGCGGCGACGTTTGGGAGCCGGTGGAGGAGGTAGTTCGTCTAGTTCAGTAGAGTTGTTTGCTTGACGATTGGCTTGATCAGGATTCGAAGAGCGTCCAAGATTGACATTCAACAGGCTAAGCTGCAATGAGTTATCAGATTGATCCATCGACATCGAAGATTGATCTAGGGACAGCGATTGGTCCAGCAAAGATGAAGGTGAGATCTGCTGGATTGATCAAACGTCAACGTCAAAGAAGTAGACATGAAAATTGAAGAACCACTGCCTACCAAAGTATTCTCCATATCGGTACTTTGCTCCATGGGATGTGAGGTTTGGTTGATCGATGGTTGGTGGTAGAAGGACAAAGGGATAGTGGGAAGAGATGATTGGGGGAGAGTCGGGTGGTGTGAGTTTTATGAAAATTTCTCTACGAGCAACTGGCAGGAGATCAACAAGCAGGGGATAGTGAGGAGGCATAAAATTTTAGTCATAAAATTTTAAGCCTCGAGCGGTTAGTTTTTTGTGACATGTGTTAAAACAGCCCTACGTGAACCGGGCTAATAATACTCTTTGAAAAATTGCGAGCAATGAATGTCTAATAACAACCCCAAGAAGCAGTTTTCTTCCCATGTTTCATTGGCCATTTCAAGAAGTGATGTTTAAATTCCAAAAAAAAGCAGAATCAGGAAGAAGTGAAAGTAAAAACAAGACTTGAAATTTGAAATAGATCATCCTTTCTATTCTTGTAAACTTTCATTTTTTTTCACATATGTATTGAACCTTTTTTTACTTCTTTCCAAACTTATATCTGATTTAAGAAAATGTACCAAGTAATGCATTAAATATAGTGGTTAGTAACTAACTCAGAAGTAAAAGCTTTAGTTCCATGAGGAACAATAAAATCCATATTTCTATCCAAATGGTCTAGTGATTCTTGTAGTGGATTAAGACATAACTGATCATCTGAATCATGCTTGAGTAACTTTTCATGAGCCCTGGAGTAAACAAGTGTAACATAATTGATGAGAGGTTTTTCCTCTCCTTCAACATGATTGTTGGGGATTTTAAGTGCAGCAGGAATTGAAAACAATCCATATTCACTTTTAGTGCATGTAAAGGTCTTGGAAGTAGTAAAGCGATGAACAATGAACATTGTTCATTTCTTGAACAAATTGGCAAATGTAAGACACCAAATTCAATTCATCTAGATATTTTATTTCTGAATTTTCTTCTTTAGATCCCAAAGTTATCCCCGGATAATTATTTTCAAGAGTTTTTAACTCATGGAAAGAAAACAGTCTTTCTTCAAATTTATTTCCCTTTTCCATGAATGTATTCTTCAAGCTCTGGATTTTTTCTCGAAGTACTGAAGAGTTTTGATAACTAGATTTTATTGGTACATTCTTTGAGTTTAAAAGATATTCTGCTTCATTGAACATTTTTTCATCCTTGAAAATTTCACTCTCACTTTCAAATCCAAAAGATAATTTGTATTTGAGAGAATCCCTACGAGATAGCCATGCTAGATATCTTGCTTGATGAGGTTCAACATCTTTTAAAACTATTTAAGAAAAAGAATCATAACAATACAGGAATTATTAGCAATTTTACAAAATAAAACAAAAAATTTCATAGAATTGGAGTTTCTTACCCTTAATGAAGGTCCTATAATGTGCAAATTGCCAGTCCAAGGGAATCAATTCACTACTGATGAATTTATTGACATTGTACCTTAAAGCATGTTTAAAGTTTTTCATTTTGTAGTTGAGGATCATGGTGCTTGAAAGCAGCTCAAGTTTATCAAGTCCATCTGGTCCACCTGAGATCAACTCTACAAGTTCCTGTTGATTGATCTCCTTCATCTGGTATGCTGAATGAATAATTTGAAACGCAGAATCTTTGATTGCTAAAGAAATCTCTCCTCCTTTTGGAGAGTGGTAGTCATATTCAGAGATCATTGGAAAATTATGATTAAGTTCATTCAATATTTTCTCCATTGCTCTAGTAAATTGTCCAGGAAGACCTGTGGGTTTGTTGTTCAATTCACACAATTGATTGGTGCAGTCCAGTAAGTTTTCAAGCTGTTCAGTTCCCTCATTTTTTCCACGCAGTAATTCTCTAATCAATGTTTGGATTGCTAGTAAGTTTTGATATATAAATTCTTGATCATCTGACTGAATTATCTCTTCATGTTCCAATTTGATTTGTTTCACTGAAAATGTGTTGGAAAATAAATTGAGTCAGACCATTTTACTTTTCCTTTGAGAAGTTCTTCATTTATTTCCAAAATTTCACTTACTAGCCTGTTCATCATCCAATACAGAAATTTGTTTTTTAAATGGAAAAGTACTTGACAGGAATACCTTAGCTTCTTTTAAGTTTTTTTCTGTGATCTGAATTTTTGGAAATTGGACTATTCTTTTTTTTGTAATACGATTCTTCACCTTATGATTGTGACCTTGACCTTTGATATGATCCAAGTTCCAACATGAATTACAATTTTTGGAAATCAGATTTGACCTCTGTGTTTTTCAATATACAAAAATGCAATACATTCAAGCTGTTCACCTTTTGTACCCAGAATCAACTTTATACTTTCAATGTACTCTGAATAGTCTGGAGTTTCTGATGAAAGAAAAGGAAAAGAAATAACAAGTTCAGTGTCAATTTTAATAATATATACATAGATAATAGATGTTTTATTTTGATAATTAAAAACACCTGATGAATCTTTCCCTTTCTCTAGTTCTCCTGGAATGGTTGGGTTCCCCAGCCCAGAGTTGGCTGCTTGTACCTCATGAACTTCAGAGGAGATGTAAGTAAAGATAGCAGCCATGACAATCAAATTCAGTTTCCGTATTTCAAAAGTTTAAAAATACAGTGGTATGTGTAAAGGAAATTCACCTGTTTTATCCATTGATTCAGATTTTTCCATTTGATCAGATGAAAGCAAAGCCTGAGGAATTTTTCCTTCAAAGGTGCCAGATTATGATGTAAGAAGATGGGAAATCAAAGTAAATTTTCATATTCTCAAGATGTAAAATGATAATGGCATATGTAGATCAAAGTCACCTTGAGTATACATGCATTGACTCCCTTTAAGTTGCAGGATTAGGAAAATCAATAATTTGATTTTGCGGAACCCAAAGTAATTTGACATGGTGGGTGGCAATATGATGTGCAGATTGATAGATAATTTTTTGGTGGCTATATGAGATAAAGTACTGTTGTCAGTGTGGAAGGAACTCCAAATATTAAGAAAGACCCCTATTTATGTTGGGCCAAATTGGTGAGAGGACTGATTCATGTCAGCCAAACCATTCCAAGTGTATGAATGTATGCTGAGTGGTGAAGGTGACAATGCTGTACAGCAGAGTGTACTGCTGACCCCCCCGTTGCATGCCCTGGGCGAGCTTCTCGTCAAGAAACCATTAGCTCACCGTCTCAGGTCTTGCCTTCAGCGAGAGGGTCGATGGATGAGTGATTGTCGCAGAAATGACATTCAGCATGATGCTCTCGCTACTCGGCGACTCGCAAGGTCGGCCCACAGCTGCAGTATTCGGCGCGACAAAGCTCACCAACACAGGCAACTGGTACTACACCTCACACATCGCATCAGGAAAAAAGCTCAGATAAGTACGGCAACAACAAGCTGAGATCAAAGCCCTGCGATAAGTGCCAGTTCTGTTTGAGCGTGGACGGTCATCAGAAAGATGCTGCATACATTTTTCGTTGGTCATTGTCATGGCGAAACCCACCTTGCAGCAACAGCAACACGTTAGATGACCATATAAATCCTTGGAACTCGCCTGCGTTGGAATGCATAAATACTTGCCGACTCCCAGTAGCTTGTTCGAATTCGGTTGCGACGAAGTCGCTCATGGATCATGTGCGTAGAAATGCCACGAGCTTGCAGGCAAGTCAAGAGAGCGTATACTCCCTCCCTCAATCCAGATTTGGTTGAGGCTATCCTATCGACTCCGAGTAACCAGAATGCCCCCGTCAGTGCCTCTGGTTCTTCGGTGAAAACTAAGCACACACATATAATTTCTTTGTATGAGTTAATGCATTGTCGATTCGTCGTGACATTGATAAAGAGGGTAGCTATACTTCAGCCTTGGCAATCATGAAAGGCTACCTTCGACCCTTATCGGTTTCGCGCCGGCCTGACCTTCTTTCTTTGATGCCACTTGTGAGAGTAACATGAATAACTGTGAGGTTAGAGGCTCAGCCTTGCAAATTCAGTTCTACATACCCAATTGTTTGGCATTCAGTTTTGTTGTATGTGACTGGTCTTGTACATGTGATTATATGCGCTATGGGTTGATCAAACTTGACCACGACTTGGCGGATGGCAAGCTGTGACAAGAGAGGAGTGTCTCTAGGGCTGTATAAGGACTCGAAGTCGCCGTTACACCAGTTACACACCTATTTACTTTGTTGTGTACATCGTGAAATTGGAGCTCCACTGGCATATACATCATTGACTCAAAGGTCAGGTTTTCACCATCCTGCCTGACCAGATTAGTCAGTCCTCACAGACTGATTCAACATAAATAGAGGCCCTCCTTAACATTAGACAATTCTTCCACATCACCTGACACACTTCCTACATAGATACCTGTTCAAACTAAAAATATTTATTTTCATTCCTACCTATCAATCTTCACATCATCCCATCAACCAACATGTCACATCACTTTGGATTACGTAAAATAAAACTACTGATTTTGCTCTTCCTTCAAGTTCATGGGAGTCAATGTGCCATGAGGAACTTTGCTGCAGGTGATTTGCACTGATATACCTACCATAATTAAATTTTGTACAGCCTTCTGACTATGATTTATATGGGTACCATAATTCATAACTATCTCCCAGATAGAGTCCATGGGGTAGAATCAGTCATTTCCGGGTCCAAGAGCTCATCTAATCCCATAGCACTGTCTAAGTCCATGGATAAACCAGGTGATTTGTTTGAATCCTTCTATATTTTGGCAATTTGGAAACTGAATTCAATTTGCATTACTAATACCTTCTATTGTAACACTCCCTCTATTATTCAAGATTTACAAGACACATCTGATTTGGTAGATTCAAATGTTCAGGCAAAAAATGATGGGAGCAGATATGAAGAAGGTAATCTTATTTCATCCAAATAAACTTTTACCTTATATTCCATGGACCACATGCACAAATTGGAAAATTTGGACTGAATTTGATTTATTTAAACATTATCTTCCACCAGATTTTACAGGTAAATATTCTGAGCAAGTAGATCATGTTTCTAAGATCCTAAAAGAGATTGAAGAACAAGGTGACCATTTTTAATTTCTCTTTCCATGTTGAAAGTACTATAAAGACCCTAAATCTGATTTTCATGAATTATGTTGCTAATTTCAGAGCCTGGAACTATAATTATTGATCATAAAGCATTCCCAATCCAAGACAAATCACCAAAACAGGTGGTTAATTTCCCATTTCCAAAAAAGATGATTACAGAATCTAATTCAAAAGACATCAGAGAATATCTTGCAAGCACATTTCCTTTTGAACAGCAATCAACTATATTAGACAGTGTGAAATCAAGTACGTTTAAATTATAAATTCTAGTAGACAGAAAGTACTTTAATGTGCTCCATTTGACTTTGATTTTGTCTGCTGAAAATCATTTTATGCAGTTGCCAAAGTACAAATAGATGACCAAAAGGCATTTGATCTTCAATTGGAATTCAGACAGAAAAACCTGGCAGAACTCAAGGATCAAATTATAGTTTCACTGGGTTCAAATAATGGAAATCAAAACTGGCAAAAGTTACTTGATTACACAAATAAGTTGGATGAATTGAGCAACACCAAAATTTCCCCTGAAGAATTTATTAAGGAGATTCAAGAGGTATTGTACAAGGTCAAATTGGAATCTACATCAACATCCAAGCTTTACAGTCAATTTACTCTATCAGTTCAAGATTTTGCACTTCAAATCATTCATTCAAAATACAAGTCAAATCAAATAAGTCAAAATGATCTTTTGAAGTTGATCACGGAGGATGAGATGCTAAAAATTCTAGCAAAGACCAAGGTTCTCACCTACAAGATGAAATACAGCTAAACCGAAAAAGCTTGCGGGCTGTCGAGTCGGAATATCCAAAAAAAAAAAAAAAAAAAAACTGCAATTGGAATGTTAGGAAGAATACAGACAAGAATACAGGCTGCCGTATACCTGCCAGCAGCACCGGTGGGACCTGACCGGCCCCCCAGGGGGATGCCTCAGCAGCAGCCATCAGCGGGTAAGGGAAGGCCGTTGGAGTGAACTTTGCATCAGGATTCCGATGGTGTTACTCTCATCACCTGAAAATGAGAGAACAAAAAGATAGCAAATTCAACCCAACATGATGCATCCATACATGAACCTGTATTCTTCCAAAACTTCCAGCTGTAGTCGGTAGATTTTTTTATTTTTTTTTATTTTCTGACTTCGGAGCCCGCAAGCTTTCTCGTTATAGCTGTATTTTGATTCAGCATCAAGATTGGGAATCAATAAATATATCAGTACTGAGATGATGGACCTGGACTGGCAATTTTCACATTATAAGACTTTCAGTGATGGTGAGATACATTCAATTGCAGAAAAAGGATCAAAATTGAATAATTTAAAAATACTGATGAATTTGGTCTTCCAATTTTTAAAAAATTTGTTGGTTCAATAAAAATTGAAATAGCTTTGAAGAATAACAAAGCAAGTGATTCAAGCTATCTTGGATGGCTAACCCATGGGTATTCTATCAAATACGGATTATCTCCTAATAATGAAAGGAGTATGTTTTTCCAAGATGGAAGAAAATATGCTGAATTGTATGCATTTTCTAAAAGTCCCCACAGGAAAATAATACCTGGGGAGCACCTCAAAGAGCTGTTAGCTAAAATCAATAAATCCAAAGGTATTTTTCTAGATCAGAATGCCTTGCTAGATAAAAGGATCTATGCATTTCATGAGTTGAACACTCTTGAAACACATTTTCCAGGAATAACTTCATCTTTTACGGATGATTTGAAATCAAATTACCGCAAGAAGATGGAATCAGTTTCTCTCACATGCCAGGTTCTTCAAGAAATTGGCAACATTCACCGGTTCATTGAATTTAAAGTCCCATTTCACAGCTCCACAGAATATGGATTGTTTTCTATTCCCAAGAAATTTTCAATCCCAAACAATTATAAGAATGGAGAAAAGGAGAATTTGGTCTCCTATGTTGACTTTCTTTACTCCACTGCTCATGAAAGAATTCTCCAGGATACTTCAATTAATCAACTTTGCCTTGACCCATTGCAAGAATCCTTAAATCGTATTAAAAGCAAAATACCTGTTTTCTTCAACTTAGCTTCCCGTAGTTCACCAATCAAGCCATCCAATGTTCATGAAGGCAAATTGTGATGGTTTGTTTA